CCTTTCCGTGGCCACACTCTTGGGGTATACATAGGTCTCTTTCTTTTCTCAGCTGGGGTAGACTTGGGACTTTCACTTCCTCATTTGTCCACAGGACATACACATTTCATTCCGCTGACTGGGTTGCCTTGTGAAGCTGAGTTTTTATTTAAAGAGAACGGAACAGAAACCTTACTGTTAAGAAACCCTATTACTGTTAAATGCTTGTTTTTCATAGGGTAGACATTATCTGTATTTGTTAGTTGGTTCAAGGCAGCTAAGGTTAGCAAAGAGTTTAATGTTTGTTTTATTTGTTCTTTATCAGTTGCTGCTTTTCTTAATAAACCACCTCTGATATTTTTTCAAGATTGTAATTATTTAAGGCTCTCTTTTTTAAAGATTTAATTATTTCTATTTTTATCCGTATGGATATTTTGCTGGTGTGTATGTGTGTGCACTGTGTGTGTGTGTGGTGCCCAAGGAGGGTGGTAGAACCCATGGAACTGAAGTTAAAGAGAGTTGTGAGCCACCACACGGGTGCTGGAAACTGAACCTGGATCCTCTGCAAGAGAAGCAAATGCCCTTAACCACTGAGCCCTCTCTCCAGCCTTTAACCGCTGAGCCCTCTCTCCAGCCCTTAACCGCTGAGCCCTCTCTCCAGCCCTTAACCGCTGAGCCCTCTCTCCAGCCCCACGAGCTTGTTCTTCGGAGGCTGGTTTAGTCTGCATTGTGCTCCTGTAGTGAAACACTTGAGATTGGATGATTGATAGAGAACAGAGATCCGTTCTCTTATATTCTGGATACCTCATCCAGGGTCAGGGACCGGCTGCTGCTGAAGGGTCTCCTGCATGTTGAAATAGGAGCGGCAGGGCTGCGTCCCCAACACCCCGGCCGCTTGGCTAGCTCATGCCCGAAATAACAACACACAAACTGTATTCATTTAAAGAACTGCTTGGCCCATGAACTCTAACCCTTACAGGCTAATTCTCGCACCTGGACTAGCCCATTTCTAATGATGTTTGTAAGCACCCCAAGGTGAGCTTACCGGGAAGATTCTAGCCTACATCCATCTTCATCGCGTGTGCCTCAGAGAGCAGAGCTATCGCGTCTACCCGGGAGAGCTGAGCATGGCGTCTGTGCTCCCGAGCTGTCAGCTCTCTCCCCGGAAGCAGAGCAGAGTCTGACCTCACTTCCTCTTCCGCCCAGAATTCTATTCTGTTTACTCCTCCCATCTATGTTCCAAGCTGAGGCCAAGCAGTTGGTTTATTATAACTTAACCAATGAAATCAACAGATTGATATATGACACTCCCACATCACCTGCAGAAAAGCAGGACAGAGGTATCCATTCCCTCAAGCCCATTTTAGAGGACTATTAATCCATTCAGAAGGGTGGAGCCATCAGGATCCAAGTGTTCCCCAAAGATCTTAACTTTTACTGTTGTTTTGCTGTGGATTAAGTTTCTAGCATGTGCATTTTAGAGGAAATGAACACATTCGAATTGTAACAAACGGGTTATTTATAACACAAAGAACTTAGAACAATTCAAATGTTCCTGAGGGTTTATGAGCATAGAACACAACCATTAGTTATCAAAGTGATATGTGTATTTACCAATATAAAAAGATGTTCCTGGCAAAATGAGTGTCAAAAAGATAAAGTAGCATGGGGCTGGCAAGATGGCTCAGTGGCTAAGAACACTTGCAGGGGACCCAGGTTCAGTTCCCAGCACCCACATTAGGTACTCACACTCTCTGTAACTTTAGCCCCATGGGATTCATTGCCCTCTGGCTTTTATAGGTACCTACATCCATATAGTATCTACAAACTTACACACACACATTTTTTAAAAAAAAATCCAAAAGAAATAGTAGTATATATAGTGTTTAGCCACATATAAAATTGTGCTAGTAAATTTGTATATGTAATGTTGTCAGATGTCAAGAAGATATTCCCCCAGATTTTAATAATAACGAGCTCTAAGCTAGCTGTGGTGGTACACACCTGCAATACTAGCCTGTGGAGGTCAGTTCAGGCTCGTTCTCAGCTTCTCAGCTACTTAGTGAGCTGAGGCTGTCCCGGACAGTATGAGACACTGTCTCAAAATGAAAAAAAAAAACATTAGAAATGATCTTTGGGTATTCTTTGTGTGTGTGTGTGTTTGTGTACATTTGTTTTTCCTTTTTCCTTCCTTCCTTCCTTCCTTTTTTTTTTTTTTTTTTACAGTGACCACATTATTTTTAAGGACACAAATTATGCTAGAAAACGTATTCTCTGATTTGGTTAACCTGCTAAAAGAACAGTGTCCATGCACAAATGTGTTGGTTACCTGCCTCAGTGCAGTCAGGGATGTGGGGAGAGATGAACGCTTGTTCTCGACTTACGTTCTTTCCTTTATTCAATCGGGGCTCCCAGCCCATAGAATGGTACTGCCCGTATTCAGGATTGTCTTCCCATGCCAGTTAAGCCTCTCTGGAGATGTCCTCACAGATATGCCCAGAACTGTGTCTCCTAGGTGGTTTAAGTTCTGTCAGGTTGACAGTTGTCTGAGGATTGTTGTAGCTGTGATGAAACGCAGTTTGGGGAGGAAAGGGTTTATTTGGCTTATATGTCCTGGGTCACAGTCTGTTGAGAAAAGCTTGACCAAAAAACAAACAAACAAACAAAAAAACCAAAATGACAAACAAATCCCAACCAGGAAAACAGTTGGGATTAGCTATTCCAACAGGTGCTCCTTAGTCTACAGTCTCAATGCTCTGGCGAAACCTTTGCAAGTTATTGTTGCTTCAAAATACACTTTAATTTTTTCCCCTGGTCTTCAGGATTTATTTTCTCTATGAGATACATTCTGCACTAAAAGCATTATCATTAGTGCTTTGAATATCAAGACTCATGTATACATATAGGGGCCTGTAAATCTGCAGTTGCTTTGTGGAAGCTAATCCACTTTGTGTATACACACATTCTGAAGTGTTTGAGATTGTGAGAGATGGATATCTCTACCACATACCGTGACTGTTGGCAGCAGAGTGTACCCCTGGCATCTTCCCAGGACCCGGTAGGCAGGTTGTTCCCAACTTGCAGACAAAAGTTTATAGCAATGAGAAATACCACCAAAGCGCCCACACTCAGAACACCAGGGAGATGTGCCAGGACACAGGCACCTCCAACCCCCTAGCCTCCTTGATTCTCTGCTTTTATTTACTTTTTTGACCTTCATGAGGACAGGCTGCCCAGGGAGCCTTTCCTTCCCCAGACCTCTGTAATAGCCCCACCACACACAGGAACGACGGGCACAGCTCTGTCTTGTTCTTGCAGTATTGTCCCGTGTCTGCTCGCTGACCAGTATCCACAGTTTATCCAGGATGACAGTTGGGCAGCAGTGCTGGCTCCTCTTTAAGTGGTAATGCCTCATCCCAGCTCTCCCAAAGTCCCCGGGATGGTGCTTGTGGAAGCTGGCCCCGTGGGGATACATACCTCCAAGCATGGCCCTGGCCTCCTGACTGCTTGCTGCTTCCCAATGAGGCAGTGGCTGAGTGGCCCCTGAGTTTCCAGGTCTTCCTCACTCTGGATGGCATGGTATGACCCCAAGCCTAAATACCTGTCAGGCATTATAGCTTTAGCAACATTGTGTACTTTCTTGGGGACATGTGCAGTAGACACCGGCAGACCAAAGAAACCATTCCATTTGACCTGCGGTTGGTGAAGGGAAGAGACTACTTGGGTTCCTTACAGGAGCACTGTGAGTTGGGCAGCTTAGTCATGGCAGATCCTTACCCTCATGTGCACGGCGACTTATAAGTCTGTGCCACCAGAGTCCACTTCTAGCCAGCTTTCCACCTGTGCACTCACAGCTAGGACATGGGTCCGGAGGGGACAGGAAGGAAAAACGGCTGGAATCTCCAGTTAGAGTCTGCTGCCCTTCCCTCTGCCTTCTGCTAGGGAGTGCGAAGAGGAGCTTGTGAGGGTGGCATTCGAGTGATCGCAGCTGGTCTACAAGGCTGTGTCACTCTCAGAAGAAAGAGCCTCACAACTAGGGACTGTCTGTTGTTCACCCTCATGGTTGGCCAATGGGAAGCTGCGGGTCACTCCCTGCTACTGCTTCACCTCAGAAGACAATACTGCGTTTTTATATTATTAGCTCAGGAAAGATCAAAATCTAAGATCCAAATTGTGGTGTTTTTTTTTTTTGTTTGTTGTTGTTGTTGTTTGTGACTAAAGTTTTGCACTGTAGCCCAGGCTAGCTTTGAACTGGCAATCCTGCCTCGGCCTCTTGACTACTAGGATTGTGTACATCTGCTGCTGCATTCACCTCCAGGTGTGGTTTTCGATGAACGTGAACAGCTTTCGCATTGTAGTAAACAGTCGTGAGCTGTACACTGTGAACATGGGGGCTGAGACCCTTTAATAAAGTTCCACATGTGGTGACCCCCAACCATAAAATTATTTTCGTTGCTACTTCATAACTGCAATTTTGCTAGAGCTATGAAACGTAATGTAAATATCTGATATGCAGGATGGTCCTTATTTATTTATTTACTAATTATTTATTTATTATTTATTAATTAAAAATTTCCACCTCCTCCCCTCCTCCCATTTCCCTCCCCCCCCCCCCAGGATGGTCTTAGATGAAGGTGGAAGAGTCGTTTGATTCCCAAGGGGTCTCAGCCCACAAGTTGGGAACCACAGGTCTAGATTGAAGCGAATGCTCTCCCTAAGAGAAGAACTAGTAGCTCACTTTGGCAGGACATTTTTGCTTTGTGATGTTATTTATTTTCCCTGTGGCACACGGTAGCCTGTCTGTATTGTTGAGCAACATGCTCTGAATTAATGCTGAGTGGTTTAAAGGAAAGGGGAGCCAGTTTTGGAAGACAAGGACTCCAGGACACAGAGCAAATGTAAAAAAGTAGTAACTGTTCGTGAGAAGTTGGGGTGCTTCTAACATGGGCAGTACAGACTCGGCTGCTTCCGACCGTCAACGCTTCCCACCTGACCTACATCTCTTCATTTTCCCCTGACAGGGTGTTTTAAGCCTTGAATACTGTGTAGGTATTATTGGCGGCAAACCCAAACAGTCGTATTACTTTGCTGGATTTCAAGGTTAGTGGCTAAGTATGATGTTTCTTTATTGTTTTCTTCTAAGAGTGGAAAGTTAATACGAGATCGTTTGGAAACGTGATGGTTAACAGAGCCCAGTGGGGACCTCCTATGGCTGTCAGTCCTTCCTCAGCTGCTGCCTTGTCGTTTGATCCACGCCATAATTGGATTCCTAAGATGTGTGGTTAATTTCTGGTACTGCATAAACAAAGCCTAATTTATTGGTCTCCCCGAATTCCAGAAGACACCGTTGCCACGTTCTAGCGGTTGCTATTTACATATTTACTTTTTGCCGTTTCTTTAGTGGTGCTCGCTGGTGATGAAATGACAAGCAATATGTTCTTGCTGTCAGAACAAAGACGGCAATGCATTTTTCATATGCAAACTGTAGAATATAATTGTGTGTTTGTGAAAGTAATTTTATCACCAAAAATTAAATGACAGTCTCATCGCTTTATAAAATTCTGCTTATACAAGCATATTTGATTATGCAAAGTTAATCTATGCTGCGCAGCCCGCGTTTCTGTCAGAGAGTGGCAGGCTGGCAGGCTGTTAGACCTCGACTTTTTTCAGCTGCTCTACATAGAAATTGGATTGTAAGCAGTGTCATAATAAGGTGTTTTGTGAATTACTTGTCTTCTGTTTTGTCCTTGTAGATGACAGTTTGATTTACATGGACCCTCATTACTGCCAGCCTTTTGTAGATGTCAGCATAAAGGATTTCCCTCTCGAGGTACTGTACATGGAGAGTCGGTATTGTTTCCTTCCTGTGTGAAGCGGGCTCATCTCTAGGGGTGTGTAAGGCGGCCGAGCTTTTCTAGAATCACAGTCACATTGCTGGCTTATAAAACCCATCAGCTTCGGTCAACAGCTCAGTGCTTGGCAGCTGAATTTTAATGTGTGGTTTGCCGTCTTCACTTATGTCTGTCTCCGACTTGTTAGATGCCTTGATTGTACTGAAATGAACGCCCGGGTCTCTGAGTAGTTTTTGTAGCCAGATAACTAAGTAGTGGATAAGCAGAAGAATTCATAGTGTTAGGTCTGTCCTGGAGTGGGGGGCAAAAGGACGGTTTCCCGGAGGAAAGCCCACTGGCTCCGTGAGCCTCCATCCTGCTTAGATTTTCAGGGGCTCGTTTGGATTCCTAGCCATCGCTGAAGCCCATTTTCATAGATTCTGCTTTCCCTATAGGTCATCCAATATTTTAAGTCAGAAACATTTGAGTTCCTAAGTGAGACAGATAACTATTATATCATCTTACTTGGCTTTTCTTAATTGATGCTTTTATGGATTAGAATGGTTTGATCACGGATGGCAAGAGCACCGATAGTAAAAGAAGGGTCAGTGGGAAGTGTGCTAAACGCTGTGTTTTAGAAATACCTTTTGAGCTAATATTAATATTAATGCCTAACAGTTTTCAAAGAGGTGTAGATATGAAAACAAACTGCAAGATTAAATGTGGATTAGAAAAATGTGTTGTCAAGTGACCCGGCCTCTTTTGTCAGTTCATGTCTTAGCTGTGTTTCCCCCCTTCACAGGATGCTGTGTGTGAACGGTAGAAAGAGGTCTGCTGGGCAGCTGGGCTTAAGATGGCCGGGGCCTCACCCTTGCTAGGCAAGAGCTCTACCACTGGCCTAAATCTCTGAAGCTGCAGAGACTGTGCCTATATTCCGCCCTGCCATAGGCCAAAGCAGCGCCTTTATTATTAGCCAGTGGTGATAAAACCTATTCACAGTGTGCAGAGCCTCTTTTATACTTTGTTAGAATTACTTTTGCAGACTCTTTTTTTATGGATGAGGAAATTAAAATCGCAAACCTTTTCATCTGGCTCCATGTAAATAATTGTAGCCGTGAGATTTTAAATGAGTGATCTAAATCTAACAGGATTGTGAAATTTTAAATAGGATATCTGCACCTTAAGATTAAAGAAGATATTTAAATATATCCTTTGCTATTAGTCTTACATGTTGATGTCTTACATTTTTAGAGTTGAACTCTAAAAATTTTGACATTTTGAAACTAAACTTCTTTCGTTTTGAACTATCATTTATTGAGTTGAGTTTTCTAGACAAAAGTCTGTAGGCCTCTCTTGAACTTTTCCATGTATCTCTAAATGCTTTTGTTATGTCTTTATATTAATTTTCATTTTCACGATATTATCTCACAAATATGTTAGGATATATTGTGGGTTAGCATGTGTGATTGAGCAGAATTCTATACTGGGGGAAGAGAATCTTCCTCGTTTTGGGTCATCTTCATTAAGGTTTTTGTTTGTCTTTTGAGTCAAGGTTGGCTGGCCCAGAACTTGCTCTGTACATCAGATTAGTCTTAGACTCATGGAGATCCACTTGCCTCTGCCCCATCAGGGACCAGATTAAAGGTGTGCATCACCACACTTAGCTGAGGGCAGCTTTTAATGTATAAAGCGCCACGGTGTGATTTTCAGGGAGAGAGTGGGGTTCAGAGGAGCAGTTCAGAAAAGTCAGTGAGAAACTAGAAGAGAATGAGAGGAACGCGGGGACCTTAGAGGTGAGTACAGGTTCAGTTGCAGGTTTTCAACGTCAGTTACCTGAATAAGACAGAATTTTAGTTGTTGGAATGGAAGGAGTATGATATGTGTGTGTATTCATGTATTTATACATATGTGCACATGCATATCTTACAAATGTAATTTTATGTGCCCATATGTGTCTGCGTACACACATGAAATGTATATACAATGTTTCTCCTAGTCCTCTCAGCTCAGAGTTAGCTGAAGGAGTCAAGTTGGGGGCATTGGCTAACTCAGTTGGCTTGCCAGCATGGCTCTGGGTATTTTCTTGATTGCTGATTGATGTGGGAGGCCCCCCCCACACACACTGTGTGTGATACCACCTCTAGGCCCTGCCCACTGTGTGGTACCACCCTAGGCCCCGCCCACCGTGTGTGGTACCACCCATAGGCCCCGCCCACTGTGTGGTACCACCTCTAGGCCCCGCCCACTGTGTGGTACCACCCCTAGGCCCCGCCCACTGCGTGTGGTATCACCCCTAGGCAGGGGTCCTGGGCAGTCCAGGAGAGTTAGCAGCAGAAGCTGGGGATGAGCAGCGGCAGCATTCCTCTGTGGTTTCGTCTGTAAGTTCCTGCCTTGAGCTCATGTCCTGGCTTCCATCATGTATGGACTGTGACCTGAAATCCAAGTTACTTTTGGTCCTGCTGATGTCAGGCAACAGAAAGCAAATCAGGACAATAGTACATATGTATTATTAATGAACTGAAGTTTCTTAATTTAGACACTGTGAATCCTTATTTAATATACTTTCAGATTTATAGACCATAGTATATATTTCTTAAAAATACTATTCTGTTTACTAAAAATACTGTTTTTATTTTATTTTTTCTTTTTGAGATGGGGATCTTACTATATAACTATGGCTGGTCTAAAACTCACTTTGTAGACCAGGCTGGCTTTGAACTCAGAGATCCACTGTCTGCCAAGGGTTGGAGTTAGAGGCGTGTGCCACCACCCCTGGCAAATACTACATTCTTAAAGGTCAGAAAAGCCCTGTTCCTGGGCACGTGAGTCAGTTCCAACTCCAGACTTCAGACCCTGGGAGGATCATGTAGTGGCAACTGTTTCAGCCACCACCAATAAGTTAAGAAAGATGGTGGACAGATGGACAAGGGAACAGTGGACAGATGGACAAGGGTGTGGGTGAATCTGCCAGGGAAGGGCTTTCTTCATGACTCACGCATGCGAACTGTAGCTAGTGGAGAACTTGTTCTCTGACTGCTCAGGAAGCTTCATCCCAAGGTCCAGAATGGTGTAGGCAAGCCTGAAAGCAGCTGTCCCGGTACTGTTCCCGTACTTAGGTAATAAAATGCATTATGCCAAACAATTACCATTCTTAATGCATATATAAAGAGTATGAACCCACAGTGTCTCCCTCAAGAAATGAATTACATAATTAAACACCTAATCATGTCTTGCATTAGGTGCCTAATAGTTATTTGTTTAGGCAATGACTAAATGATGCATTAAAAAATGAAACAAATAGGAGTTGACTCTTTTTTTCCCCCCGGAAATATATTTCATTGTCACAGAAGAAACTATCCATAGTTATTATTCCCTAAAATGTGTATATGAGGTAGAGGCTGCTATTACCAGACACTAGAATTTTAATATTAAGTCAGTCATACATGCATAGCTTAAAGAATTACCATAAAAGGAGCATGGCCTAGCAATACCACTTCAGAAAATATTTAAAAGGTGAACTTACTTTGTAATAAATAGAAAAGATTCAGAATTTAAGTTAATGGTTTGACCTCAGAACCTGAGGAGAACAAAGCAGCCTGACCTCAGCTTAGGGACAGCGCTAGGGCTAGCTGCCTTCCTGGGCCCTGCTCCTCAAGCCGCGGCAGTGACAACCAGAGATCTGTATCTGTGCTCTGGGGGTAATTAGCAAGTTCTTTGTAGATAGCAAGATAGCCGCAAGTTATAGTTTACCTTTGTGGTTCTTATCTGTGGTGATTGCGGTGAGACACACACTGCCACAGTTGCTGGTGCTGGAAACGCCTTAGTCACCGCTTTGTACAGAGGAGAGCACATCCGCAGGCGAGCTAGATGTGTGTGGTTGCACCCCTCAGTCTTTCTGACTCTCTTCCTGAAGAATCAGTTTTTGTTACTGATTTTCAAAGTTTAGACAGATAATTTTAGACATTGTGTGTAAAAGATCTTCTCATAAGTATGACCCAGAGCTATGCCTTGCACCCCGTCCACTCCTCCATATCACAGTTAACAGTTTACCTAGCCTTCCTGTCTCATTAAAATAAAATAGTTGTAACTGTATTAGCAAAAGTCCAATGAGACAGAGCTTGTATTGGCTAGTACCTGGAAGATCTGGTGTAGCTAGCTTAGACTCCACTAATTGAAAAGAGTGTTAACTAAGCATTTTGTGCAAGTCAAGGGTTGGTGTATGTTTACTGAGGTGTTGGATTTGAATCTAACACACAGTTGGCCCGCTCAGAATGTACATTTTTTTTAGAGCCCCTCATAAATGAGTGAGTTTCACCCCCCTTGTATCATTTCTATATGGGAATGAACAAGACTATAAAACAATAGAAAAGAAAATTGGAAGACTATTCAATTATGTGCCAATAATTTCACACTCAGGAGGCAGAGGCAGAGGCAGAGGCAGAGGCAGAGGCAGAGGCAGAGGCAGAGGCAGAGGCAGAGGCAGAGGCAGAGGCAGAGGCAGAGGCAGAGGCAGAGGCAGAGGCAGAGGCAGAGGCAGAGGCAGAGGCAGAGGCAGAGGCAGAGGCAGGTGGGTTCCTGTGAGGAGGAAGCCACCTTGGCCTACATAGGCCAGCCAGAGTGACACACTGAAAGCCTGTGCCAACAACCAAATGAGCAAAACAACAACAACGAAATCAAACAAAACCTCTGAAGTTGACTATGTCAGTATAGGACATTTACTGAGTCTGTGTGTTAGATGTAAGAATAATAAAGGAGTTTTGAGCTTTAGAAGAACCTTCATTTATCTATGTGTACAGCAAGATTAAAAAGGAATTTCATTCACCCATGGCCACATGCATGGTATTTGTTTCATTTTAATTCAAAGTAAATTTTTTACATCTTAAAAAGACTTATATTGGATATTTGAGTGTGTGCATCATGTGTGCAGTGCCCATGGAGGCCAGGAGGGGGCACTGGATCCCTTGGCACTGGAGTTACAGGCAGTTGTGAGCCATCTTGTAGGCGCTGGTTCCTCTGCAACAGTAGCTAGTGTTTGTAACAGCTACCAAGCCATCTCTCCAGCCCCTGCAGCTAGGAATTTTAATTCAGTCCTTGTTTATGGATATTTGGCTCATTTTTAGCTTTGACTCTATGGCTAAAACTGCTATGAGTATTTATTTATAAACAGTAAATAGCTCAGTCTCACAAAGATGCTGGCTGACAGGGTTCTAGACTAGACTACACAGGCCCACTTTGGTGACTTGTGTTTCTTCTTTTCTTCAAGTGTCAGAAATGTATCCCACACTTGATAAACAGCGTAGGTCACATAGGATGAAGGATAAATATGCACCATCCTGGTTCTTGTGCTTTATGTCCTAAGAGAATGGGATGTAAGCTGCTCCTTGGAAAATATATTTATAGTTTTCAGAAAAAGTATTTACTTCAGTCCATCAAGTAAAGATAAATTAATCCAGAACTATTCTAAACATTACAGACATTCCACTGTCCTTCTCCTAAGAAGATGTCATTTCGGAAGATGGATCCTAGTTGTACGATAGGATTTTATTGTCGAAACGTCCAGGACTTTGAACGAGCATCCGAAGAAATCACCAAGGTACCGTATTAAAAGCATGGTGTTTAATGCCTGTAAATTACCTGATTTATATTCTATAACAATAAATGTGTAAACTGTTTTATGTTTGTAAAATCCTTCTTGAATGTTGCTAACTTTGGGGAGCCAGCAGTTGAGACAAGTTTCCAGCGACTAGTTGAAGTGTTGTCCACTAGGTGGCAATGTTGAAACAAAAATCCTGCCAGCTCTGGCCCTGGGCAAGCAGTTAGGTTACATCCTATTTGAAGAGGATTTTAAAGGGCACTCCCTTAGGGGTAGAAGAAAAAATTAATGAAGTATTTGATCAAGTCAAATTTCATTTCTCTTTACTCCAAGTGCTCCTTTTATTTATTTATTTTTAAAGAGAAATGATATTTTTGCGTTTCCTAGAACTGCTTTATCAAACGAAGTGTGTTGTTACCTTCGTTATCAAATAAAGTGTCTGGTACTTGTTACCAGACAAGTGTGCGTCTTGTCTGGTCTGTCTACCTAATGGCTCTTTGAAGTAGTTATGCAGCTTCTTTTTGCGTTTAAACTGGTGGCTGTTTTAGGTGCATGAGTACTCCTGAAACACAGACACAGCTTTAATGCCCCCCGTATTTGGTACTTTGGGAAAGAGATAAGATTAGCTGCCCAAGAAGCCAGAGTAGCCGGAAGGGTGTCTTTATCAGCTACGTAGCCTGTCCTTTCGTGGTAAGTCAGAGCAGCACTGGACTCACCGCGAGGCGCTCAGAACGTGTGCCCAGATGGACTAGGGTTTTAGTACTGTTTAGCGTCCAGTTGAATTTATTCCTTCAGGAAAGTAGGTATTTTACTTCCACAATGTAAAAATAGCATTAAGTACAAAGTCTCAAATGAGAATTTTAGTTTACTCGACCTGCCAAGAAGAACGGGAAATTGAGCAGGAATGTGAGAGAAAAACAAGCAAGGAGATATTGAGATCCGGAGCCCTGCCTCCGCCCTGCCCCAGTCCTCTCCTGCTCGCTCTCCCTGGCAACAGGAGGCCACTGAACAGAGCAGAAGGCGGGGTTCCCATCGCCTCCTTCCTGGAAGTCAGGAAGACAGGGTAGATTCTGGTTTGATAGTCCTTTGTCTTTATAAAATACCATGCATGTGCTAAAATATATGAATCTAGGCGATCCAGTGATAGATGTTGATATTGATGAATAGTTCCTACATCAAGGTGTATTTCTCTGTTTTCATTACCTTACTTTCTGTTTGGATCAGAATAAGTGTGTTTGAAAGAGGAGCACAGTCTACTCCTGTGGCAAAATGAAGCATTTACAGAGGAGTTGTGTTTTGACCTTCTGATTAAAAATAGTAATTATGGCTTCCTTTACCAGAAAAGCGATTAGAATTATTGCTGATGTATTGGAGAGTGTGCAGTGCTAAGGCAAAGGGGGACCGTGCTGCTGTGTATTCTTGTTGTACCGAGTTTTTAAGACCCAGTTCACTGCTTTCTTAAGAGAATGCTTTTCAGTAGTGCCCAAACCTCATCTTGTCAGTTACTGTTAGTTGGGCAGTTCTAAGTTAAGCACATGCATCCCCAAACCAGAATTTGGCATTTTTAGTCAACGTAATTATTTTCCATATTTCTTTTCTAATAGGATTTATTTTCTGTTTTCTCACTTTGAAAATTAAGCTAGGCAGTCTAGAATGTCATGTTTAATTTGTCCATGTTCTGTGGGCGAATAGGCTCCTTATGTTGTGTGATTGAAAAATGTTAATAAAAATTGTTAAGCTAATTATTGGACGGAGTTCATTTTGTCAGGTACGTATGCAGCTACTGTATACAAAGCATAATGGGACCAAGATGGAATTCCTGCTTTGAACGAGACATAAAGCTTCTAGCCTCAAGTAACATTTATGCTTAAGGAGGGGGAATACGACAAGCAGACATATATTAGGTTGAATATGATAAGCGTCCATATGAAACTAGAAATAAATTGATGAGAAAGGAAGCAAGTTGAGCCCAGAGAGATGGCACATCCAAGTCAAAGTATTTTATTGTGATGGTGATATTTAAGCTGAACCTGAAAGCCTATGCATAATTGCCGTTGCTCAGTACTTAAAGGGACTGACTAGTCAGAGGGAAGGCCAAGAGAAGCGGTTGTGGTGCACAGCCAGAGAGGGGTCCACTCTGGTGGATTTCTAGCACTTAAAGGACAGGATGTCTGTCCCCTGACGACCTGAGCCAGAACCCCAAAGGGTGTGTCCTGGAGATTTCCGTTTCTAACAAAGCAATCTTTACACCAGAGTTGGAGAACTGCTTGTGAGTCAAGCCAGGGCGGGATACTTGCTGTCTTCAGGTGTCACTAAGACATTTAATACATATCTTTATCTCTCTTCACAGTGGAAAACATGGGGGTAGAGTAAACTTATGGTTTCCCGTTTTCATTTAGTTTACAAAGTTGTTTAAGTTATAAATGACGGAGAGTGTTCATCAGTCACACCGAGGCAACAGAGAAGAGCAGCGAAGGCCGTGTAGACTGCCTGTGGCTTAGGAATCAGCGCAGGCTGGGCGACGCTGGAAAGTTCATTGACACAACATTGCAGAGAAGCATGAATCCCAGGCCGGAGCAGCACATTAATAATGTATTTTGTGACATTAAAATTTAAATTTCAGGCATATAGACATAGGAAAAAATGCCTGTATTCTACCACTGTGAAAAATTACACATATAATATAATTGGCTACGAATCCAATGGATGCGGCTCTTTCCCAGTTGCATTCCTCTTCTTGTGGGTACTGGTAACGCCATCCTGGATCAGCCCGTCACACCCGTGCTCTACACATCTGCAGACGTCAGATATTACTCTGTATGCGGCCAAACCTCTCAGATTGCTTATTTCAGTTTTTGTTTTGTTTGTTTTTGAGACAACATTTTCTTGTATAGTCCTGGCTATCCTGGAACTTGCTTTTGAGACCAGGCTGGCCTTTAACTCACACAGATCTGCCTGCCTCTGCTTCCCAAATCCTGGGATTAAAGGTGTGTACCACCACCATCTGGCACTAGAGAATATTCTTGTGCCCATCTGATCCCTTTAGGATTGCATTACACATACCTTGTACATCAGAGTCGAAGTGCTGGGCACAGGGATGCATGGTTCCATGTTTGTCACATGCTGTCCAATGGAATCCGAAGGCACTGAATGCAAGAATTCCCAGCACCTTGCATGATAACACATGAAACTATCTGGCCTGTAATTTTAGTCAGTCTGTTGGGTAGAAATGGTATCTGTTTGGGGTTTCAGTCTGTGTTTCTCTGACTGATAGTGAGGTTAAACATCCTGTCAGGGTTAATTGGCCCATTTGGTTCTTCTTTTGTGCGTTTATGGCTCCTTTTCTTTCCCCATTCTTCATGAGGGCTACTTATGAGGGAAGGCTTTGTAAATTTGGACACCGCTGCTTTGATGGCTTTATATTTGGTAAATAATTCTGCCAGGCTACTATTTTACTTGTTAATGCTATCTTTAACTTTAAGATTCCAAATAACTGTTCTTTATGTTTTTTAAATTTTGTATCAACAGAATGTTTACTAACCAAAGATTACAAACATACTGACTTCTTCCAGAACTTTCCTGCTCCTGCTCTAAACTTAGGAACTTCCATTTTTCCCTATACAGATAAATGGTTGGCCTGGCACCATTTGTCAAGTGTAGCCTTTCTTCATTGATTTGTAATGCCCCTTTCAAGGATTCCTGGCTGAGAACCAAAGGCGTGAGGTTGGAGAGGAAGGACTTGGTGTGAGGATGTCTCTGAAGAATCAGCAATATCAAGCAGACACTCACACTTAGATCAAGGGAAAGAGAGAACAGAAGCAGGCCTAGTGGACTAGACGAGAAAGCGGGTCATTAATACGGTTGGCCACCTACTCAAGAAATATTCGAATGCTTTACGCCTCCCATTCCTGCAGAACTCAGAGCTCCTGAGCCCATGTGGTCACACCCACTGATATAACCTATCTTCTCCTCTTCTTGTCCTAACGGGAATTAAAAACCCAGTCCCTTTGCACAGTCAGGTTTACTGGAATGCAGACACAGCAGCTGCCAGCTTCCTAAGAGCTTCCTCTAGCTCTGTCTCTGCTCTTCCTGTTGTTATCCCTACCTCCCATCCATTGTTCCTCCTTCTTTCCTTCCCTTACATTCTTTATGCCCTTCATTTTCCTACATGCTTTTTAATTTCTGGAAAGATAAGTGATTGTCATGGTTCTAATCCGAGATGTTCCCCACAGGCTCATGTGTTTGAACACCTGATCGTGAGCTGGTGACATTATTAGTGGCAGAGGCTGGAGAAGCTTTAGGGCGTGAGACCCTGCTAGTGAGGAGGCTTCTCTGGGGGCTATAGTCTGGTGCTATTTCTGTGCCCACTCCTCCTCATACCTGTGCCTCCAGGAGCAGAGCTGCTCCTCCCTCCCTGGTTCCCTGCCATGATGGGCTGAATCCTGAAACCATGAGCCCAGATCAGTCCTACACGGCTTCTGCCAGATGTTTGCCACAGCGCAGAGTCGTGTGGGTGTAGGAGCAAGAGGATCAGTGGGCAAGGGGGCCGCTACCGGGCCTCACAGCCTGAGTTAGATTGTGGGATAACTTTCCACCTGGGGTATATAATTCTCTGTTTCTTCTTTTTACTTGGTTCCTCTTTATTTAATATATTTTGTGGCACTATCATTAATTATGTACATATTTAGGATTATTAGGCCTTATTCTTCAATGAAATCTACTGATTGAAGTTTTCTATTAGTGAGGGGGCGGTGGTGGCACACGCCTTTAATCCCAGCACTCTGGAGGCAGAGGCAGGCAGATCTCTGTGACTTAGAGAACAGCCTGGCTAGTTCCAGGACAGGTTCCAAAGCTACAGAGAAACCCTGTTTTGAAAAACCAAAAGAAAAAAATCTATTGATTTACTTAAGAGTTTTATTAGATTTATTTGTCATATTCTATGTGTGACTATTTTGCCTACATGATGTCTGTGCCCCATAGATGTGCATAGTACCCAAGGC